TATATATATATATATTTGTATACATGTCACAATTTTTTTATATGCATAGCTTTGTGTTCTCCCTAACAGAAATTTAAGTGTCTGACCTCAGTTTATATTCTAGAGATAGCCTATTTCATGTAAATTAGGATGTCATGTCAAACTGCCAGGTTTCAAAGCTGTGACTTCACCACAACCTATCTGTGTGACCTTGGGAATGTTACTTCACCTCTCTGAGTTTCAGTTTTCTCATGTGTAAAATAAAGATAAAAGTGGGTATCTTAAAAATTATTGTAAAAATTCATTGAGTTAGTGCATGTCAAGCATTTGAACAAAGTCTGGCACACTGAGGAAGCTCTGGGATCATTAGCTATGATTATTCCCACGGGAAAGACAGACCTAATACACAAACAAACCTGATAAATGAGACAAAGCAATCACAGCAACACAATTTAGCAAGCATCCTACCACCAAATAGTATAGACAGAGACACGTGCTCAGCAAGCCTTCAGAGGAGCCCGACCTGACTCACCGACTCAGCTATCAAACCGCCCCTGAGAACTGAGCACTGTCCAAGCACTGCTGTAAGAGCTAAAGATGAGATTTGCAGACGGTTAAAGGCAGCCTGGGTCTGGGAGTTGGGAAGCACCAGTCCAGTAGAAATGTTATCCTGCAGCTCATGTTCCAGGAGGACACCAGCCATTCCCACGGAAGAGAAGTACCCCGGACTCGGGCCTGTCGGGGCCAGCAGAACAGGATCAGCCCCTCTTCTAGACTGAGGCTTCATTGTCTCCTCTGCCACCCACGTCCCTGAAGTACCTTGGGGTCCAGGGCTGGGCCTCTTGCGCTGTTGAAGTCAGTACGTGTGACTGGCTAGGACAGAGGGGGGCAGAAGTGAGCCACCTCTTCCTGCCCTGCGGAGAGAAAGTAAATAACATACCTGTGAAAGACGTAGGAAGGAACGAGGGTCACGGGCAATGATTATGGCTAATCTTACTGGCAGAATTTCCAGAATTATCAAACTCTGCGAGCAGGAGAAGATTCTGGACACACAGATAACTAAATCAAGCTGCCGTGTAGGCAACGGAGACATTCTTTCTGTTGATAGAACACTGTGGCTGGTGATGGGGAAAAAGGCTTTAGTAATGTCTAGAGATCTATCATATTCCAATAAAACCGAGATGCTAAATATGAGTGCATATCTGAACACAGAGCTGCTAGAGCACACGTAGCATCATTCTGGGTTTGTTTGTTTTTTTTTCATAGTCAGAAAGAAATTTATTAGCACATGATTTACTTAGGCATCATTCTTGATTTATTTCATGTCACTGTGATATAGCATTCCGCTGTTCTTAATCCACCAGCTGCTACTTTATAGTAAGTCCCACTATTGCCCAGGATGGGCGGTACTAGATTTGTCTAGCAAACGTCACTGGTGACATTAGTGTCAAAAGCCAACTGAGCTTCAAGGCAAATTTTGGAACTTCAGAGAAATGATAGTGAAACTCTCAGAGTGGAAATAACTTACAGGAACTTCTAGAAAGCGGACAGGGAACCTTGAGAGTAGAGTAGAACGTCTTGAGACGTGACTGCATATCTTCTTTCCTCGATAGATGGTTTCAGTGTAGGTAAGGGTTCTGCAAGTATTTCTCTCATTAAAGAGTGGACAAAAACAGGAAGGCGGGAATATGTCTTTGGCTCAAGATGGAGACGAGACAGGAGGCCTCCACCGGGATGAAGGGCTGGAATAGAGAGAGGAGGGTGGTGGGTAACGCAAGAGGTAGCAGCTCAGGCTCCACATTTATCGTTCCCTTTAAATCTACTCTCTTTCTCTTCTCTTCCCCTTTTCTCTCTCATTTGTCTTTTCCAGTCTGCATTAAATTCGAAGTTCTTTAGAATGCAGACAGTTAAGGAAGGAATTGATGGGTTTTCATGGGATGCTGTAATCACCGCTATTTCTGTTGGCTGCAGTTTGTACCTATGAATAAAAAGTAGAAGAAAACCCCATAAAGACAGCCATACCAGCGCCGGGGATTTAGCTCAGCGGTTCGGTGGCCTGCTTTGCAAGCGCGAGGACCCGAGTTCCATCCCCGGTACCAAAAAAAAAAAAAAAAAAAAAAACCCAGCCAGATAGCCATACCATAGGGAACTAGATTAGAGCGAAGCATGTGGGTGTGAGGTCAAATGGCAGGGGCAGGTGGATGATGGGAGAGCAGACAAGAGGCGTACGTGGTTCATGCCTAATTGCTCGACTTCTCCCTGTGATAGCACAGTGAGAACACAGCAGGCGGGGAAACACTCAGTGTCTTTAAGTTTCTTTAAAGATCCCAAGTAATACAACCTATGATTAAAAATAGAGCGAATGCTTAAAATTTTTAAAAATGTGTTACAGCAAGAAACACATTGCCAATAATCACCCTCAAAACATTCTCCCTCACTCTGAACACACTTGTTCCATCCCTTTCCCCACTTTCTGAATCACTTCTAGAAGTCTTCTTTCAAGTCTTTGCTTGTGCTGTCACAACCGCCTCCGTGTCCTAAATCGGTTGAGAAACATTCCTTTTCAGGGTCACTGTACCTTCAGGAGAGGGCCATAAGTCTCACATTGTGCCAGACCAGTGAATAAGGTGGATGAGGACACACCATAGTTTTTAATGCGGCTGCCTTTTCCCTGGATGGCACTTGACTGCATTTTTTAATCTTATTTTATAAAGACATTGGTGAAAGAGGATTTTCAGAACTGCTCCAGAAAGTTGCAAGAACAATGGAACAAGTGTGTTCAAGTGTGTGTGTGGGGGGGTATTTTAAAGGGAATTAATGGGAATGTGTCTTTTCTCTAAGAATGGAATACTAGGGATTGAACCTAGGTCTTTACATTTACATCCTTAGCCCTTTTTATTTATTGCTATTTATTTGATGGGGGAGGGGTGTCACCAAGTTTCTAAGTTGCCCTGACTTGCCTCAAACTTCCAGACCTCTCAACTCAGCCTCTTAGAGTGCTGGGATTACAGGCATGGGTCAGCATGCCCAGCTATAAATTTTTAAAATTTAAACATTCATTGTATATTTCAACCACGCGTCATGGTTCTTGCCCAAGGTTCACTGGAGAAGCTTGCTGTGTGCACACATTCTATTTTTCCATTGTAGGACAACTGATCTAATAGATCTATAAGTGAGCATCAGCCTACGGTGGTTTTGAAGGAGGTGGTCTCTGAACCATCCATCCTCTGAGAAACACTAAACCATGGGATATTTGCCAGAGTAAGCAGATCATCTTCCTGAGCCACATGTAAATGCCCTTTCCTGACTTGGTAGAATTCTTTGTCTTAGGAAATTGCCCTGTAGGTAGGATGGTTGTCTCTTCCCTTCACTAGTTAACAATTTTCAGACATCTGCATACTACCTGATGAAATTTTGAAAAGTAACAATAACAAGGAATTTCCTCTTCAAAGTTGTTTGAGATATTCTTAAGCAAACCGTTTAATTCCAGCAGAATCCGGGACTTGATTGTAGAGCTGTTGCTGTGAGCCTCAGAATGCGATCCCTCAGTAGAACAAAAAAGATGGAGCCAGACTCACTGGGTCAACTGATGGAGTCTTGGGGGTCAGAGCCCGTCACTGACTCTCACCTCTCGCATGGAAGAGAAGTGAGACAGTCCACACACACCCCGTGCTCCTCAAGACTGATATTGTGCTCTCAGAGCCATCTCTTCCCCCAGGGAAGCCTAGTGGCTCCCAACTAGGAAGGAGAATGTGTTCACTGGTGAGATTTGACAGGGTAGGTGAAGAATTGAGAAAAATTGGTCCCATTAGACCCATTAAAATGTTTGCAAAGTTAGCATTTCCCAGAGTGCCTGCCTCTGAGAAATCAGGTGACTGGGAAACTGGGAAGAGAAGAATGGATTCACACCAAATCCCTGACAACATGCTGATCCTTGGTCTCAAGGGATATTTCACCTTGACTCTCAACTCTCATGTGATTAATAACTGTATTTACTCTATCCTGGAAAACAAAGTTTTTCTTTCTTTTATGACAGTATCCAGTGTGCATTTGTGACCTAGATTACAGCTGCCCTTCAAGATTATAGTAAAATCTGGCCGGGCATGGTGGCACACACTATACTCCCTGCGCTAGGGAGGCTGAGACACGAAGATTGCTGTGAGTTCAAGGCCAGTCTGAACTACATAGCAAATACATTCTCAGCCCTTTCTAAAATTTTTTATTTTGGGACAGGATCTTGCTAAATTGCTCAGGCTGGGCTCAAACTTGCAATCCTTTCATCTCAGCCTCCAAGAGTTCTGGGATTATGGATGTGTGTCACCACACCTGGCTTCTGTTATTGATTTCTTTCCTTTTTTTTTTTTTTTTTTTGGTACCAGGGATCAAACTCAGGACCTTGCACTTGCGAGGCAGGCGGTGGCACCACTGAGCTAAATCCCTGGCCCCTGTTATTGATTTCTAATTCAACATCACATGGTCAGAGAACATACTTCCCATGATTTCAATGCTTTCAGATTTATTGAGACTTATTTTATGGTCTATAATATGGTCTACCTTACATGTTCCATGTCCCCTTGGAAAGAACATATATCCTACTTTGTTGTGGAATGCTCCATAAACATCAGTTAGGTCAAGGTGGTTTGATTAATATTGCCAGGGTATCTCTTTTAATCCCACTACTTTTAATTTATTTATGTACTTATACTTAAAATGCACTTCTTATGGGAAGCATATGATTGGCTCTTGAGTTTATTTCATTAAAAAAAATCTCTGACTTTTAAGTGATTTGTTAAAACATTTACACTTAGTGTGATATCGATACCTGTACATTCGACTTTATCATCATGTTAATTATTTTCTATCAGTTGCATTTGTTCTTCGTTCCTGTTTCTCTCTTTTGGTTTGAGTATTTTTTGTGATTCCATGTTAGGTTTTTTTGTTGACTTGACATCTACAGTTCTGTTTGGTTATTTTACTAGTTCATTTAGGGTTTATAGTATGCATCCATACCTTGTCAGTCTAACTTCAAGTGATGTTATATTGCTTCATGAATAGTTTAAGAAGTTTACACCAGATGTGTTGACATGCAACTGTAATCCCAGCTATTTAGGAGGTTGAGGCAGGAAAGTTGCACATTCAAGGCCAGCCTGGGTAACTCAGTGAGACTTTTGCCTCAAACAAACAAACACCTTAATTTCTCTGCTTCCACCGTGTTTGCTGTTATTGATATACATTTATCTTTATTTACATTATAAACCCCATGATACACTGTTATTATTTTTAAAATATTGTTTAAGCAGACAATTAAGTTTAAAGAGTTTTAAATAATAGGTAAAGAGTCTTTTATATTTTTCCACGTTTTTAGCATTTGGTACTTTCAGTCCCTTTGTCAGGTCCAGTTTCTCTCTCAAACCATTTTCTTTCTACCTAGATGACTTTCACATTTCTTATAGTGGCCTTCTGCTGGTGATGAATTCTTCCAACTGTTGAATGCCTGAAAATGTCTTTGTTTAAGGTTCAGTTTATTTGTCTGGGTGGGCAGGTTTCTGTCTTTGCTGTGTTAAAGGTGTCCCACTGGCTGCTTTCTCCCACCATTTCCCATGAAAATTCTGCCACTGTCTTTGTTTCTCTTATTTGTTTGTTGTTATTAGCACATCATTTTCCTTTGAATGTTTTTAAGAGCTTTTCTTTGTTAATGGTTTTGGACAATTTGTGGTATATATTGGTGTCATTTTCTTCACGTTTGTTGAGCTTGTGATTCATTGAATTTATTGGCTCTTCGAATTTATTGTTTTTATCAAGTTTTGAAAGTTCCAGCTATTGTGTCTTCAAAGAGTTTTTCTGATGCCTCTCTTCTTTCTCA